GATAATCGGATAATTCTCAATGAAACATTATCCGAATTCAAACTCTTAACTCTCTTTCCTGACCCGTTTGCCGAAGTGGATGCACCCATATTTGTTGAAGTGGTGCTAACCTGTTTGTCGAAGTGGTTCTAACCCATTTGCTGAAGTGGTTCATATCATTATTATTTGCCGAAGAACTGCACTAACATTGTATCCGGATTTTGCTAAAGCGACTCATTGCCCAGCCCTACCAGCATCATGGCGTCATTAGCGCAGGCTGGGCCAAAAGCAAGGCTCATGACCTAGGCGTCTGTACTCTGTCTGCAGCCCCCCCCTCCCCCCCCCCCGGGCCACTATTACCTTCATCAAGGGAAAATAAACTTCGAAAAGCTCTTCATTATATCGCCTGGTACTATTTTCTAGCTTAGTCGGAGTTTTTGTGCGTGTGTTGTTATTTGTGTCGAATAATAAGGTAAGATAAGATAAGATAAGATAAAATAATACTTTATTATCCCAGAGGGAAATTTTTCTTGGCTGTACAGGATCGTAAAAACACATGCAGGTATACCCCCCAAAAAATTAAATTATGTATTACTCTCATTAATATTCAATATATGAAAAGAGAAGTTATAGCGTCCTGTTAGGCACAGAATGAGTCGTATTTGATCACATCGCCCAGTTATATTTTCTACCCTAGTCGGTGTGTTTGTGGGTTGTGTGTTGTTATTTATAGAATAATAAAGCCAAGTTTGGCACAGAATGGCGTCATTAGGGCAGGCCGGACCCACAGCTCGGTTCATGGCCTAGGCGTCTGTACTCTGTCTGCAGCCCCCCCCTCTCTCCCCCTTCCCCCGGGGGCCACTATTACCTTTATTAAGAGAAAACAAACTCCATAGCTCATCATATTATCGCCTGGTACTATTTTCTACCTCATGCTCTGTCTAGTTTTTAGTTTTAATTTAGTAAGAGTTTTACGGCACTTGCAATACAATTTAAGGTCATACAATTGCCGAAGATTAAAGGTGTTACAAGAGAATAACAACAAAGACAAACAAGAAGGAGGAGAGATAAAGACGATAGATATTTGATAGGAAAGAAGAAGCAAACCACACCAGAGCACCCGCCAACCACAAACGAGCTCAGTCCGGGTTTTTATGTGTTGTTATCGAATAATAATGCCATAACAAGTTAGGCACCGAATGTTTAATGTCTGATCATATCGCCTGGTACTATTTTCTATCTCGTGCTCAGTCTGGGAGTTTTGTGTGTTGTTGTTATTTATGTAGAATAATTACGCCAAGTTAGGCACAGAATGAGTTGTATTTCAATACATCGCCCAGTAATGTTTTCTACCCCAGTCGGTGTGTTTGTCTGTTGTTATGCATTTGTATAATTATCAAATATTATACAATAATAACCCCCTGTCAGCCGCAGAATGTGTCGTTATTCATCGCATCGCCCCTGTACTATTGTCTACCTCTTTTTAAAGGTTAAAAAAAATGTTTCAGTACGAGTGCGCCATTACTGATTGTCGTAAGCTCGTGGACAAGTACATCGCAGTAGAGATCTCTACAAACTTTGAATCGGCTCTTTCTTACCCCCCCCCCCCCCCATAAAAAAAGAGAAAAAAAACGAAAAAAAACCCCGTCTTGCTATATATCTAACGGTATTTACTGCACTTGTGGGTATTTTAGAGCACGAGAGCACCGTAAAACACCGGCCATCCCCGATAGAGCGCCGGAAAGCACCGAGGAGCGCCGTAAAGTGGCGAAGGTTGAGCGGTAACGCCAGTAACACGGTGGTGATAAGGGGACATCATCGCCGCTGAACGGGGAGATAAACACAGGACCTGGGCCGCACTGGGGCGCACTATCTATCCGGAGACGTCTCCGACGGAGATAAACCAGTCAAAATTCTTTGTGCCTCTAGACAAAGTAAAAAAATCGGGGGGGGGGGGGGGGGGTTACATGTTTTAACCCATAATTTGATATTTGCAGACAAATGTACGAAATTTTATTGAAAATAATTGATTAGCGACCGTTTTAGTGGCTATACGTGTGATCTGCAGCAAATAATGCGCAGTTTGACCCCCCCCCCCCCCTCAAGCAGTGCATCTGTGTGCGGGAGTACGTATCCAAACAGTTCCTGGGTGCTCGCCGGAGACGTCTCCGAATATCTTCTGCCGAAAGGGGCGAGCAAGCATACGAGATTTATTCCCCTCACGGAGTGGGTATGACTAGTATGAGTAAACTTTAACCCCCTATTCCAGACTTGCATGACCAAATACGCATAGTTTCTGAGGTTTTTAATTTTAGTAAAAGTTTTACAGAACTTGCAACACAATAGGATCACACGATATAAGTGCCGGATATTAGAAATGGTATTGGTGAAATGGTATCGGTTTAACGCCTCTATCAACACTATTAGGTTATTTAAGGGGCGGGACTTTCGAGTTTAACGTCCGTCTCCGAAAGGACCGAGCCAAGGGGGAAGTTCGTGTAAAGTGCCTTTCCCAGGGACACAACGTCGGACCGAGCTGAGGCTCGAACCCCCGAACTCACAATCTCACGATTACGAGTCCGGTAGCCTAACCAAGAGGCTACCGACGCCACTCGGATATTAGAGATGTTACAAGAGAGTAGCAACAAATACAAAGAAGAAGGATCAGACCACACCCCAACCACCCGCATAATAACTTTTCCACAAAGTTGGGTCTACCACAAGGAGTTAGCTCCTTGGTTTACCATTGGCACCCACCAACCACCCATCTGCACTGTGCGCTCACAAGACAAACTCGGAAATGAAAGATCTGTCCGTCTCCGGTCTATCTATCTATATGTGAGTGCAGTTGCCCGAGCTGACACACACACCCCCGGCCGTTAACGGTCTCGCTGATACCCGCGATACTGGCGAGATAGCCGAGAAACTTGCGGGGACGCTAGCACGCGTATTTTTTTTCGTTAAAAAAATCAACAACAAAAACAAAAAGATACGCGTATTTTTATCTTTAAAAAACACACAACAAAAACAAAAACATCCTCCCTCAGTGAAGACGTGTCTATCATAGACCAGAACCGTTGTGTTTTAGTTTGTTCCATAAGAGTTTTACGGCACTTGCAACACAATAAGGTCATATAAGTGCCGAAGATTAGAGGTGTTACAAGAGAGTGACAAACACAACAAAGAAGGAGAGGGAGATAGAGACAATAGTTTTTTTTATAGGAAAGAAGAGGCAAACGACACCAGAGCACCTGCCAACCACCCGCAGCATAGACAAGACAACGAAAGAAATGAGCAATGAAGAACATTGACGAGGGAGATACCTCTTACGTCACAGATTGGGGGAAATACAGTCCACAGACAGCCCACGGAGATAATAATAATAAAAGAGAGAGAGAGAGAGAGAGAGAGAGAGAGAGAGAGAGAGAGAGAAAGAGAGAGAGAGATAGAGAGAAAGAGAGAGAGAGTAAGAGAGAGAGGAGAGAAGGATAGTGAGACCAGGGATAAATCGATAAATAATAAAATGTAGATTGACTGATAGAAAGAGAAACAGAAAAGGGGCGGGGGG